AAATTTCATGAAAGTATAACTTCTGCAATAGACTCAGTAGGCCGTGAAATGCGTAGAATCAGAAAATCTCAATATTTAACAAAATAAGAGTCAAACTCTTAATTTTATTATGTATAAGATAATTTTATGGGTGGTGTACACTCCTCCTTAGAAATCTGTGTACTTTCATATCATGTTAGATTTCATTTTGCATCCCTGATAAGTGATGACAAAAAATCTCGGAAAAGAAGGAATGGATGCTGAGGATGGTCGCTCAAGACTCATTCTTCTGGCTCCTACTTTTTCTCTCCTAGAATGCATTGATAAACGGCGACATTGCAGCTTTTGTCTTAACGGGAGAAAACTTCCTTCATTCGACTATCAGGAATTAATATTAACTTGATAAAAATATTTAAATGTAAATTTTAATTAAGTACATGGTTGCTTCAAGTCCGCTTAAAGTGTGGATCTTGCCTGCGATCCATAAATTCAAAACACCCGCGCAATATGCGCCGCCATCTGAATCTTTCCGACTGGCGACTTGGACGGTCAACCGTTGGAATTCGGCGATTTACCCCGAATCTCCACCGCGGCGGTGCATGTTCGGGGATCGAGCACCTCAACGTTTTCATGTAAACAGCTAAGATGGCGGCGCATATTGCGCGGGTGTTTTGAATTTATGGATCGCGGGCAAGATCCACACTTTAAGCGGACTTGAAGCAACCACGTACTTAATTAAAATTTACATTTAAATATTTTTATCAAGTTAATATTGATTCCTGATAGTCGAATGAAGGAAGTTTTCTCCCGTTAAGACAAAAGCTGCAATGTCGCCGTTTATCAATGCATTCTAGGAGAGAAAAAGTAGGAGCCAGAAGAATGAGTCTTGAGCGACCATCCTCAGCATCCATTCCTTCTTTTCCGAGATTTTTTGTCATCAGTTATCAGGGATGTAAAATGAAATCTAACATGATATGAAAGTACACAGATTTCTTAGGAGGAGTGTACACCACCCATAAAATTATCTTATAATAAAATTAAGAGTTTGACTCTTATTTTGTTAAATATTGAGATTTTCTGATTCTACGCATTTCACGGCCTACTGAGCCTATTGCAGAAGTTATACTTTCATGAAATTTTACCTTATATGAAATTGCATGCAATTTTGCATCTCTGTTCATTATGGAACCCATTCAGCAGGCTATCAAGACTGAGGCTGCTTTAAAAATGTAAATGGTGCTAGCAAGAAAGGGGTTGGGCCTCTAGGAGGAACATATTTTTTCAAATTAAAATTTATCATGAGGGTGAAAATTCTCACACATCAGGCAAATAGGGATTGTCCCCTCCCCCTTATTCAGAGAGAGTACTAACATTTTTCTGGGACAATTTTGGTCAATTTCACTGTGAAGTGTGTCAGCAGCGCCCAACTCCCTCCCCGCAGGCACAAGACCTCTCCAGTTAGATTTCCCGGGTCCAGCTGAAATGGCACAGCTACATTTAATCATTCAATCTAATCTTTCAAATCTACGTTAAGTCGTACGTTTATGGTAGACTTCAGATTTCGATACTTGTCTGTTACGCATTTGCAAACATTTGTTTTTTTTTGTAACTGTCTTCAAAACACCAGCGTCATTGTCCGGTGGATTTTCCATCAGAGTCTACACACTTAGACTCATCACTGACCAATTTCTCTGGAATATCTAGCATGAATGGTTAAAATGTAGATTTCACTTTGCAGATAAAGTAGCTGAGGGCTCGAAAAAAATTTTCACTTATATTGACTTCTTTAAAGACCTTTCTGACCTCAAAAGAAGCATGTAGACTTTAGGTCTGGCTGTGTTATGAGAGGCTGCACAACAGAATCAAATTATTCTCTTGAGATAAATTCCTTACCTCTGAACTAGAAAAGCCATTGATTTAGCTTTGTTCTGACCCCAACACAAATAAAACAATCAGCCCAACAGGCAGCAAGCGTCAAGAGATATTTATGCATTCATCCTTTCAGTTATTTGCACTTGGTCTGGAAAATACTGAAATAATGGTTTATACTGCTGAGAGCAATGGAATTTGTTGGATGTTCGACGTCTTTCGCAAATATTGACACATTACGGCAAGAGGCTGGTGTTACCTTTGATGCATCAACGAAGAGGTATCACAAACAACTTCGAAGTTAAAAGTTACAAAATCAAGCAGCGCTACTACATTTAAATTTGAGAATACTAGATATTCATACCAATTAGGTAATCAGAGACGTTTGGAGACTTTTATACGTAAATTCCGGTGGAAAACCCACTCCATGAAGACATTGGTACAATGTACAAGTGGAGTGAAACAGTTGCAAAAAGTAAACAAATACTTACGTTCGCGTAACGGTGAGCTTAGCTTATTGAGGCTAAAATGGAACGACTGAAACGATTAAATTAATTTTGAATTATTATACTATAATCGATCAGCACACGATGCTTGGGCATGCGATCGGTAGGCTTGATACTATAATCGATCAGCACACGATGCTTGGGCATGCGATCGGTAGGCTTGGTTTCGTAAACAAATATGGCGGCGGTCCGTCACAACGTTGAGAGTGCCGAACCCCCGAAAACGCACCGCCGCGGTGGAGATTCGGGGTAAATCGCCGAATTCCAACGGTTGACCGTCCAAGTCGCCAGTCGGCAAAACCCGCCGCCATCTTAGTTGTCTACATGAAAACGTTGAGGTGCTCGATCCCCGAATATGCACCGCCGCGGTGGAGATTCGGGGTTAACCGCCGAATTCCAATGGTTGACCGTCCAAGTCGCCAGTCGGAAAGATTCTTAGATTAGGTCATCTTAGGTAAGGTTAGGTTAGGTTAGGTCAAGTTCGTTTCGATTAGGTCCGGTAACGCTGCAATGCAGATACCTGGTTTTATCCTTTGGCCATGTGGCTAACTGCAACATAATTTGTTGCACTTTGCCACGTTTGCCACACTAATTTTTCTTGTTTCGATTAGCCACATAGCACCTAAAATCTGTGGCAAGATGCAACATTTTTTGTTGCATTTTGCCACGTGGCTAAATGAGCTGCGGCTAAATGAAACATAATCGACGAAAATAAGCCGCGCCCTAAGGGACACCTCACTCGACGATACGAACCTCCACAAAATATTTCACCCCGCAACGGCAGCCATTTGGCCGCCATATTGAAATTTTTGGGCTTCAATAAACCCGTAGTAAAATTCTGACCTCATCAGTAAAATCTACGACCCAAAAAACCCTAGGAAAGATACCCTCCTCGGCACTTTTACGCAACTTTCGGAGATTTGACCCTATCGTGGAAATTTTGGCGGCTATATTTGATTTTGGGCATCCCTTTGAGCCGGAGACAATTTTGGACCTCAAATTCGGATTCTACGACCAAAATTACAAAGTGATGAACCCCATACACGACATCAAAAACAAATTCCCTTATCTTCAACCCCCGAGCCCCCATTTTAGCCGCCATGTTGAATTGGTGGGGTTGGACGCAAAATTGAGCTTGACAACATCAAAATTATTTTTCTACACATCGAAAAGAAGAGATTAGGGCATTTTCCACACTTACTCCATTTACTATTCCACGGGAGGCTTCTTTTCAACATATGCCCGTGGACTAATTTATGCAGGCCCGCGCTGTGCCGCCGCCGCGCGGATCGCAGTGGCGCGGAAACCTTAAATCATAGACTCATCATGTAATATATCGTTGGAAAGCTTAAAAGACGCTTTTTTACATGGTGAGTATTAAAAGTGACCTTAATAATGCGATTTTAAAAGATAAATGGGTTAAAAGCTTTTTTTTCAGTACACAAAAACCGGTTTTTATGAAAAAAAAACACCCTGTATATTGTTAGAATCAAAAATTTTGTGATTTTGTTATATTTACCTTTTAATTATCTATCAAACAAAAAAAAAAGAAAAATTAAATCGGTTCAGTGGATCTTGATCTATAGCGGCTCAAAGTATGCGCCCGGACGCCATTTTGAATGGCCGCCATCTTGGATCTGCCATCATTTTGAAAATGCCTCTTCAACTCAAAACGCTTAAAATATCATCTAGTTTGACCTCCAAAAGTGGCAAAACTTAATCACGATTTGCAGCTTTCGGCCCTTTTTTGGCGCTAAGCCACCGTACTATATTTAAAAATGATGAGCAAATTATGACCCCTTGACACGGGGATAGCCACAGATGTAAGCAAAAATTGCAGCACCTTCGCACTTAAAAACAGTGCTCAAAGAAGACAATATCCCGATTATAGTATCAGTGGAACGCTTTCTGGGGCATTGAGAGTAACTTTTAGTTTGATCAAAAGCCTGCAGATAGCGCATTGTAAAATGCTAGACCTTCAAAATTACTTGATTGTAAATGTCAGCCCTTGAAGGTGTCACGTTAAAAATGAGTTACCTTGTCCGTTGCTTCAACAACGACAGTTAAGCTGTTTTTGTTTCACCCATTTTAAAAGAGAGACATTGAAAAAAGCTTGAGAAAAAGAGGCGAAGGTCATCAAAATATTTTTACTTCCAATATGCTAGAACATTGAGCAAATACTGAGAGGAATTCAGAGCAAGATATGGGTAAATTCACCTTTCACAGCAAATGAAGCCTTGCAGCTTCTCAAACCTGTAACTCATGTGACAGCAACAGTGGTGCAGCAGCTCCTAGCAGTTAGGTGCAAATCTCTCTGTTTGCCACCCCCACATGGCCACTTGCTGCTTTCAATTCATATGATGGCAAGATATTTGATTTTTCACATTATTACGACATGATTTAGTATAAAGAACAATTTTCATGTTATCGGCAAAAATTAGTCTTGTTCCTATCATCGAACGAGGGAATTTGCCTTATTTTCCATCAAGGCTTGCTGCGACATCTTTACTTTTTAAAGAAAAAACATAATTGGTACAAGGATTTGAAAGGACAGACAAAAACCATCGTACAGAAGTTTTTCAGGAGATTACTTTCAAAAAATGATGCCCAATCATAGATGAAAACAGTCATAGAAGAAATACATACCTATACATGAGGCTATGTGGACCATCGGACCTTCTTTTCCTAAACTAAGTCCAGCGGATACAGATAACATGATACCGACTGACTTAATGATCAAAGTCCATTTTCCTAAATAACCACGAATGATGAACCCACTCAGAATTGTCTTAATCTGTAACAAATAAGTTAGAGGATATAATTACGTACAAAGGCAGTTCCTATACACTTGGCAAATAGTTTCATTCAAAAGTATTTTTATATTTTCAAGCAGTAGATCTGAAAATTTTCAAAAATGATTGAAAGATAGTCATATTTTTTATTTTGTTTGGAAACAAATGATTATTGAGTGTGTCTGTCTTTTTTTACTTTTAAAATAAATTGTGCACTCTCGTAAAGTTACTTGCAGTTTTTAAAATTATTCTGTTTTATTTGTGCCGTTGATAAAGCAAATATTTGATGATAGGTACCTTAATTGTAACTGCTTATGCAAAAACTGCTGCAGCCCATTTTTTATTTTTTAGATTTTGGATTTTTAATAGCCCTGAAGGTTTGAAGATTTGAATTAGAAGGTTATTTAAGAGGTTTGGTAGTGAGTTTAGCAAATTTGGAAGTTACATTTTGTACCCTACTTTGTTGACACATTACCTTGAGTTTATATTTTTGCGTCTAGCCTTATTACTTAATTTTGCTAGAATCAGTAACTTTGGATACGTCTGAACAGTCCTAGGTCTGTTCAAACATAATAAAAGTTAACTTTCTGAACGTACAAAATACTTTCTGTTAAAGAAACTAAATTGTTAAGAAGCTTTATTTTGCTTACTTACAAGTGTCAAATTTTGGTTATTTTTCCTTCAAAGAACACCCATTTCTGCTAAATGCACCTTGCAAAATTCCCTGACTTTACCTGTGAATTCCTTGACTTTCCCCAGTTGCCGCAAATTTCCTGACTTTCTCTGACCTTCCGGGTTTTCCAGACTTTCAGCGACCTTGATGTGAATTTAAAAGAGACCGTAAACTATCTGGATTTTCTGCTTTGTACAGTGCTTTCTTGTCATCCAAAGTGTTCAACAACCAAATTGAAGAAATGATAAGGGTTTCAAGGTTATAATTTTTTGGCTAAAAATATTAGGGGACTGAGGGAATGAGGTTGAAAATAAAAAGAACCGTAAAAAAGTAGACATACCTCGGGTATACCAGATCCACATGCGTAAGGAGCAAACATTCTGACCAGAGACGCAGCCAGAGATGCAAAGAGCAGCGCCCAAGCAATGAAAAATATGTAGGAAACTATGAATGCTCCGGCTCCTGTATTAGATTCTGCAATAATTTCTGACCAACTCATCCACTATCAAAAAAATCAGTTTATGGATTAAAAAATATGTGAGAGGCATTGCTGTTTAATTGTGATATCTATTAAACCTGATTCATTCTGCAGGTTGATCTGAAAGTCCCACACCACTGGCACCAGGCATTAAAAAGGAGCAAGAACCCTAAGCTTCATTGGGGTGGTGCGGGACTTTAGGATCACACTGTACAACAAAGATGAGGACTAGTCTGAACCATGTGTCAATAACTGTGACAGTTCCTGAGATATTGCGAGAGTTGTTTGAAAAGTGATGTCTTCTCCTGTCTCATGTCTTGTTACATCGAGACATCATACCTTACAAGGTGGAATGGACCACTAGACAAGGTACGAATGTAAGCATTCTGATACATGTTTTTTTAATCAGAATTTCACGTAAAACACGATTCGCGCGACGAAAATTACCAAAACAAACTCCTAACAAAGATATTAACATTTTTATTTCACATACGTTACGAGGAATTTGAACTGCCCGCTCACAAGAAACTCAAAGCTCCACGCGAGTCAAATCTCGCACTACAACGGTTTCAGCAAGCCTCTCAATCAAGCAATGTTGATTCCCCACCATGTTTTGTTCACTATAAGCAATTTGCTACAGCTGAGCCAAAGCGTCAAGATTGAGGTTGCCAGATTTTTATATCGCAGAGACTGTCATGATAACGTTTAGCGCACAATATGAATCACGCAGAGTATTGAGTTTTCATGAGCGGGTGGTTTGATTTCACGCATCAAGAATCATTAAATATTTTCGTAAGGAGTTTATCTCGGCAATTTTCGTTGTGCGTATCGTGTTCTACGTGAAATTTTGGTGTAGAAACATGTATCAGAATGCTGAAATTCATCCCTTGTCTAGTGGCCCATTGGATCCACACGAAGTCACGATTAGTCTGTTGACAAAAAAGTTGGCTCAAACAATTTTAAAATTACATACCTAATATTTCTATGAATATTGCACGATTGCACATAAAACTTTGGCACCTGCATTGCAGAGGAGGGGATGGAAAGGTTTTTATATGGGCCTTGTTCAGACGCTCAAACATTTTATCATAGAGCATTAAACTACATCGTTTTATCAACTAGTTTTAAGCTTGCGCTGGACAGTCTAACATTCGGAAAACTTTCCATGAAGTAGACTTTACTTAGTTACAGCTAATTTTGTGGGTGACAAAAAAAATTTTCAACTGCCTGGATCCAGCCGTGAAGTAAAGGCTTGAGCAAAGTTGACGAACATCGGTAAAACTTGATTTGTGAAGAATCTACAAACCAGATGTAGCTTGTAGCTCATTGTCAATTGAAACTAGCTCTGCAGAAATTATAAAACCATCACTGTTGTACATCAAATGGGTACATCTGTTTGGGCCAAATCCAAGACTTCAGGCGTCAGACTTCAACTATGGGTTATTAGGATCGAGAAATCATACGGCTTCGCCTGCCATGTGCTGACTTGTACCAGAGATAAGAAATTAAAATCGCGCTACCTAATCCAACTCTTTCATCAAAGCCTTAAAAGAATTGTATTCTCTTTTAAGTCTTTAATTTAAAACGTTTGAGCTCATTTGACTATGCAAGTGTTTATTTTGAGTGCCAGGATTTCTTGTGGAAAATGTGTATTATCACCTGTGAACAATTTCTGGAATCTTCAATAGAGGTTTCATTGGATGACCATGACCAACAGCATTGTTCTTTGTTGAGCCAAAATGCTTGAGGACACAATCCAAATTTTAAATCTGACATCCATGATGCACCTTGATACAAAAAGAAAGATTTATGTGGGATTCTTGACAGTAAAAAAAAAGGGGACAAACCATCCTAAATACATTTCAAGGAGACATTTCTTAATAAAATACAAATAAATTCAACAGAATTGGCACAGATGAGATAAAATGAATTTTTAAGAAAAAGCAAATAATCAAGCATACTTTAAATGAGTGGAAACTTTTGATGGCTAGTTTAGTGATCCATCTTTGCATCTTAAGAGGACCATATTTTGCAATAAGGAACTAAAATTTCAGGCTCATCCATAAAAACACCTATATACATAAGGAATTGAATGACACACCCATTATAGTCCAGGCGCCTGGTAGCTAAAAATGAGGCTACCTGGAATTTTGGGTACACAGCGATTTTTTCGGCTTACTTTATGTTTTTTGGGTCGCTGAATCCGAATCTGAAGTTTCCGCACGCGTATCTGGTGAGCATTTTCCGCTATTTTGAAAAAATGGCCTAAAAAGGCCTTTTTTTGCGGTTTTTTTGATATAGCGGCTACGGATAAGGAAAAGTCCCGGATTTAGCTAATGTTTTGAATAGCTGACATAATTTGGAAGAAAATGGTGTATACATATGTTAGGTTTGCTTAAAAATTGAGGAAGATACAGCATCGTGAACATCGCGCCTATTCACGTTTTCGCGGCGCACCCCTCAGCGCGGTCCGGCTCGCCGCGGTCCGCCAAGTTCTGAGGCGTTACACGCTTTAAACGGTTTTCGTTTCAATAGTTTTTCATTTCTAACACTCGTAAAACATATTATTGCTTTTTTCTTTATCAATGTACCCCATTATACCTTTTATTTGTTCCCAATATGTATCTATAGGTTACCATAAATAAAAACTGAGTTGTCCTTTATTTGTAAATTTGTTCTGAATATAGTTCTCTGTTGTTCATTGATGAAGAGAGGTTGTTAAGAAAAGGTTTCTGTAGTTACAGAAAAATGTACTTCATTTAAAGGAAAACATTTACGTATTGAAATTGTCTTTCGTGTCAAAGAAATTTTCTTTAATCTAAAAAGAACATCACTTTATTATCGATACCTAAGACATTAATTTTCTTTACCTAAATTGAACAATTTTTTTAACGGAAGAGGATTGTCGTCAAGTAAAAATAATTCGCTTTAGATCAAATAATTTTTCAAACTAAGACAACTTTTTCAGCAATTTTTTTCAGTGTTCGCTCAGAAAGATAAAGAAAGCAAAAGCAGTTACGGAAAAGAGCAATATTTTCTTTCAAAATTTGTGTAATTTTACACATACAAGGTGCATACACGAGATGCAAAGATGAGGGATGTACACAAGTATACCTTTTTACGTACATACATTAATAATGGATCACAATACAATTATCTTGCATATCTCTTTCGCTTAATCGGTGTTGAAGTAGCTAGCGATTACCAAATTTCGGATGGGTGACATTACTAACGGCGATTTGAACGCGTATACTTTTTCGATTGAGATTTTTTTTGCCTCCTTTTGCTTTAATTTCAATTGCATCGCCACAAAGAAAACATCGCTTTGTGAATGGAAAATACACTTTCTTGGGCAAAATCACGGATTGAGACGGTGAATTTTGGCGATTCCACGCTGAAATGTGGCTCTCACTCGTGTAATTTTTACTGCATACCTTATGCACAGTTATTTTATTTCTTTTACGCCCTATCAACTCTACTTTCCCGTCTTGCCGTTTTTCACTAGCTTTGCAAAAAGCACTCTCTCCTTTTCTTTTAACGTCTATTGTTTGTTGATTTGCCAACGGTTGGCCACATATAAAACACGAAGTTTCAACGTCCATCGCAAAAGTTTAGAAGTACGTGCGTAAATAAATAACACGCTGGTGGAGTCGCGACATGCGTGTTTGGCAGTCATCTGCCCACTGAAGATGCATATTTTGCTGCAGAATTAGTGAAGTCCAGACAGAGTGCAATAAAAATGCCACGGAGATAAGAAAATGCTAGGCAGTGCATAATCCTGGAGCCCAGTTGAAACCCGAAGACCGCATCCTAGCCAGGATTGTAGCCCCAGAATACGGGAAAGATAACACCTCGAAAAAAATAAACCATTGAGATAGTGAGTCACTCACGCGGAATCTCGCGAGACATCACAAATACGTTGAGGACGGGGATATTTATCCCGTTTTAGTAAATATTAGTTTATTACTTTTTTGACATTTGGATCCGTTTGTTCTCTCTTAAGGGTAATACAATCATCTGAGATGAAAAAAGTAGCAATTAATCCAATCTTACTGTATTAAGACATTTTTTCAGGGAGGGATAGCGAAAACGGAAGGGATGATGGAACACATTTCAGGTATAATAAAGCATTAAAATGATTTATTAAATGTTAGAAATGAAAAACTGTTGAAACGAAAACCGTTTAAAGCGTGTAACGCCTCAGAACTTGGCGGACAGCGGCGAGCCGGACCGCGCTGAGGGGTGCGCCGCGAAAACGTGAATAGGCGCGATGTTCACGATGCTGTATCTTCCTCAATTTTTAAGCAAACCTAACATATGTATATACCATTTTCTTCCAAATTATGTCAGCTATTCAAAACATTAGCTAAATCCGGGACTTTTCCTCATCCGTAGCCGCTATATCAAAAAAACCGCAAAAAAAGGCCTTTTTAGGCCATTTTTTCAAAATAGCGGAAAATGCTCACCAGATACGCGTGCGGAAACTTCAGATTCGGATTCAGCGACCCAAAAAACATAAAGTAGGCCAAAAAAATCGCTGTGTACCCAAAATTCCAGGTAGACTTACCAGGCGCCTGGACTATTATTTCAGAATTCTAAATTGAATCGGCTCATGCGAAAACCGCTAATGTCTAGTTTCTCTTATTTTGAGTAAACTGCAAAAAACTGTAGAAGCCTTTTAAATGCGGGATTAAAAAATGTTCAGAAGTTGATTATTACAAGAGTGGATTGTAGAAAAGGATCTCTAACAGTTTCCAGCTCCTCTTCTGTCTGGGACTGATTGATTAAAAAGAAAGGATTATGGACATTAGCGGTTTTCGCATGATACAAAAAAATCGCTCAGTTTTGGAGCCATTTGATATTTTCAAAATTCATTCTAAAGATGTTAAAGCGGTAGATTATCATTCCCATAAAGTTAAAAAAATAAAATTCTGGACAATTGCGGTACTTAAAATATAAGTTTCATCACAAAACTCCCAGCAATACACTGGACATTAGCGGTTCTCGCATGATTTGTGCGTGGACGGTTCTTAAACATTGAAAATGCATATTTTTCAGTATGCCTTTCAGGCAAAATAAGGTTGTCCTAACATATTTTGAGGTGCTGAATCCGAATATGACCTCCGTTTTGTTCCATCACTCTCCGATTTTCCGGAAAAGCCGATTTTACTCGGAAAAATGACCATTTTTGGGCATTTTCAGTGTTTTTCCGACAGTTATCCCCTGCAGAATGTAGGTAAAATTTTTCGTAGCTACGAGATTCAATTATGCCGATGTCTTTTTAACTGATGAGTCCGGAAATGACCTTAATTTTTCCTGTTCACCTCTCAGTTTTCCGGGAAAGGAACTTTTTCCCAGGAAAATTAGCAAATCCGACGTATATTTGTCGTGCATGCAATTAATTTTTATAAGTTTTCCTGGACCCGTGGTAGTATGTTATTTATGTATTTTGAGCTGCTAAATCCCAATATGACCTCGGTTTCTTTCTTTCACACTTCAGATTCCGGTAAAGCCAAGTTTTCCAAGCCTAAAATTGTGTATTGTAAAAGCTTTGTCGGTTCGAAGTGTATTCAAAATTCATTGTATAAATGTCTCCGATATGTGATGCATCAATTCCTTTGTATTTTGATCTGTTAAATTCAAATATGATCTCAGATTTTTCCGATCACCCATCATTTTTCCGGAAAAGTTGCTTTTCCTAAGAAAACGCTCTTTTCAGATATTTTTGCAAAGATTTTTCTGCTCCAAGGAGTTTCAATAATTCTCCTGTGGGTGATAACGAATTTCTAAGGTTATGATCGGGTTTTTCAGTTCAAATGGGCCTGTTGCATGCAAGAGATACAGCCGCGCGAATAGACTTTTGAGAGGTTAAATGACACGAAAATTACGATGGTCACATTAAAAAAGTCTGAAATACACTCCTTACTGCGCAATTTGCGTTGTCAGGAACGCGCTTTTTCAAATTTCCCGCGTCTGGGGGTAGTTTTCTAATCACCGGAAACGAGCAAACGGCGGGCTCGGTGATTTCCGGAAGATGCCGAGTCGTTGTTGTTGTTGTTATTTTTTCCTTCAGTTTGTTTACAAACCCAACGTGATCTCTTATAGTGGTCCATATACGCTTTATGCGGTAACCAAATCGATCAACTTTTAAATATCCAACGCAAAGACATAAAGACGGAGGGCTAAAAGCAAAAAATGAAGCTTCTTTTCACTTTTCAACCACCTCTACTATTGGCTATGCTATTGGCTAGAGGATTGGCGGCGAAATCGGGACAAGTTTGAATTCAAATATAGGGCGGGAACTGAATAAAATAATTGCGGAAACAAAGTATTCTAGGTTGATTTTTGCCCAAATTCACTTACCCACTCATATTTCTTTAACTTTAGGTTAGCTTTGGTCCGTCGTCGACCGATTAATTTCATTTGGGAGTGACGGTCATCTAGAACTGTAACGACCTGTTTGAACCTGCAGAACCACCATAAGCAGAAGAAAAACTAACTTTATCTGAGATTACTGCCTATTACTGAGCAAAAGTAGGTGTATTATATTAGGACGCAGACCGAACTTTCTTAATATAATCGTTTTAGGCATTTAAAACACGTTTAGAAGAAGAAATAAGGAAAAATCAAGAGGACAAGTTCAAATCAAATTTCCGTTTGCCGCCATGGATTCCCGCGCTCATTTACACACTCACACAAGCACCCAGCGCCAAACCAGGCTTCACTTTTTCCCCGTGCTTTTAGATACGAGCACTCCGTCTTTATGTCTTTGATCCAACGCAATCCTTCTACATTTCATTTCACGATATCACGAGCTCCGATTTTTAGGTTATGTTGTCAGTTTTAGTTGACCGGAAATAGCCGCGAGTTGCCGTTAATTGTTTCCGTTAGAACACTGCCCCCAGACGCGGGAAATTTGAAAAAGCGCGTTCCTCACGACGCAAAATGCGCAGTAAGGAGTGTATTTCAGACTTTTTTAATGTGACCATCGTAATTTTCGTGTCATTTAACCTCTGAAAAGTCTATTCGCACGGCTGTATCTCTTGCATGCAACAGGCCCATTACATGAGGATCGATGTATCACACATGCAGAAAATGTTTTGAATTTCCCTGGAAGTGGGAACAGTCCGGAAAAGCTTTTGGCCCGGAAAAATCGGACCTCAATCAAATGCGAGTTCAGTGCCTCTTAATACAGCAAGAGAGACCTAAAGAGGATCTCGGAAAATTTCTGAAACTCCTCAGAACAGAAAAATCATCGCAAATAACGAAAAATCATGAGGCATATAACAAAAGATGGACATAATGTCATCCAGGAGACATTTTCTTATTTTGGTTTGTTGTACAGTATAATGAGGCTACGAGTATACGGCAGTAATAACGAAAGATGGGCATTAGCGGTTTTCGCATGATTCGGACCACGACCCCCCCTGAAAAGGGCTTCAAACCTAAGGAGCAAACATTTTCACTACATTAATGAGTGTGTCTGACCTTCTGGAGTATTTTAACCCAAAAATCTCAAAATTAAAAAAAATGGACATTAGCAGTTTTTGCACGAGCCGATTCAATCGTAGTTCCTTATAGTAAAATGTGGTCCATAGGTTTAAATGCTAGAATTGACAGGTAAAAATAAAGTTGATCTAGTGTCTTAAAATAGCAAATATACTCATCATGGTGATTCTAAATACATTTAGATGTAAAATGACGAGATATCTCACCTTGAAATCTGGCAATCTTGATTGTGTTTATTAGTTCTGTCAATTTTTGACAGAGGGCATTACGCATCCAGTTAGTTGTACTCATGATGAAAACTTTCAATAAAGATTAGTGAAAATGTCTAATGACCTGAACTGATATCAGCATATTGAAATGTGAACAAATGAGTTGGTTTGGAGGAGAATAGTCCTGATAAAACCTATTTTTCTTGTCAGTTAATACTCGCTGTGAACGAATATTTTCACAGAGAAATAGTTTAAATTTGCCTCTAAATGGAATAAATAGATGACTGCTTGAAAAAGAACTAGATAATAATGAGTTTTCTTTACCAATGTCAATAACACCAGCTACACCACCCGTGACGAGACCTACGAGCAACACACACAGCCACCCAGACCAAGCGTCATGGGCACCTCTGACTAAATCACAGATAGACTTTTGTTTTCGTTTGACAATGTAACGGTGCCTCATGCGATCTCGTGCTATGTCACGCTGCCAATCGATGGTATGAAAATCTTCATACTGACCAATTCCAGGGATTTCATCTGAATCCACTGATACTGCAATAAGAAAGGCAAAAAAATCAATAAATTAAGGATTAAAGATATCATAGTGGCTTCATGGATGAAGCAGAAATGCATAAAAATACGAGGGACATGGCTGCCTATCAGCCGACAAATACTGAAATAAATTTAAAAATTATCACCAAATAGTCATCCTCGAGTAATTCATGAGTTATGGTGTCAAACATTTGATCGATCTCCCTCTTGCACGTGCCGATTGCTTATGCTAATCAGGACTGATAGTGGGTTGGAGACATTGGTTGTCTTGACAAGATTTTAATAGCCGCTACTGCAGCAAAAAAAAAAAAAAAAAAAAAAAAAAAAAAAATCTAGAACCAAATTACCTCAGAGTTACTGTACAGGTCCTGAAAACCTCGCGACCTGCCACATTCGGCAGCTGGTTAAAATTTGTATTCATCTCGTGAATATCTTGCAAATTCAATTACAAGCAACATTATGAAGACACACTCAAAGAAAGAGAGAGAGAAAAAAATGATCTTTGAATTTTCTAAAACAAATATGATATGCTTCAAAATAATCAAGAAAATTTTGTTCTCGATAACTGGATATGGAAAATTAAAAGAATATAACAAAGATGTTCATCTGCTCTCACTTCCTTAGTTTTGAAGAACAGCAATTTTCAATTTCAATCAACCGAAAAATGTAAAGTACTTACTTAATGGATGATAGGGTGAATACATTAAATAGGAAAAAACACTATGTGCAACAAACTGTATCAAAACTTCCTCCACAATGTTTTGACAAAAGATAGAGACTACATGACTTTATGAGACGCCCTTTTCAAAATAGGGGGAGGAGCAAGAACACAGAAAAAAAGAGCAAAAAGAGACAACTGACAGTGTTTCGAGGAAAGAAAATTCAAAAAACGCAATAGAATCCATGCTACAGGCTAGCTGTCAACTGCTCAGGTAGCACATGATATCTTAATCGAACTAATTGTAAGTGGTCCTGGTATTAGCAGTCTTAATGGGGCACATTTTAAGTTCATACGCAAAGGCAACTAATAGTTTTACTCAACAGGAAAAACAAAACATAACATTGGAAGCGAGAAACGAACAATACAGTTTATGCCAGCTCTATATCACACAAGCACTAATCTACAAATGAAAGTAAAAAAGGCTAGCAACTGAAACATCTCACTATGGACTCTCATCTACTGAGACACAATGATAATGATGAGGTGGGGGAGCGTAAATTGAAAAGAGCACTAGGCTATCTCACTCCTTATCAGAAAGAGCTTTGTTTACAGCTCTTCATACAAATAATGCAATGGAGGCTAATTTTCTGAAAAACTTGACATGCAATAACTGAGCAGATGAAAATAAAACAAAGATAGACATAAAAAAAGTAAAGATAAGATGTGAAATGGACGATGGATATTATACCAAAATTGGATAGAGGGAGAATTCTTTTGGTATCTATATTATACAGCTACAAGCCAAATTCTTGAAGACAATATTTCTGACAAAATTTCGGACCGTTAAGGATGATCACAATCCTCTATTTTCTAAAATGACGTTATTTATTTCAAATATTACAATGGGCCTGTTGCAAACTTTTGCTAGAGCAAAAATGATAGTTGTTTCTATCAGTAAATGTCTCAAAAATCATGATGAGCGCATTGGCAAAGTTTGAAATGCACTCCTAACTTCACAATCTGCGTAAGAAATTTGCGTTTTTTGAGCTCCCCCCTTCAAGAACGATACTACGGCACAGGTGAATATTTCGTTAGAGGTGTCGTTCCATTCAACCCCTGTGCACTAGGATACTACACAATATTCAACATGGCTGACACCAATCCGCCAAAACAAATGTGCCTGGACGAGATTCAAACCATTTGTTAACAACTCAGCATCTTTACATTAACGATTTCTTCGCATTGATAAAAATCTGCTTTGGTTGACCTTCTGCTCCCGATTGCGATTTGCGCGCGGAAGCGTCGGCTATGTTGAATATTGCTTCGGCAAAAGGGTTGAAAGGAATGACTACTCTGACGAAATGTTCACCTGTGCGATAGTATCGTTTTGGAAGCGGAAACTAAAAAAAAAAAGCAAATTTCTTACACAGATTGTGAAGTTAGGAGTGCATTTCAAACTTTGTCAAAGCGCTCATCGTGATTTTTGAGACATTTACTGATAGAAACATCTCTTATTTTCGCTCTAGCAAAAGTGTGCAACAGGCTACATTAATCAATTAATTAATTTTTCCTCTTTTGGCAACTTTTGGTGGGTATCAAGTAACCTATCATCACTTCAGAGGAAATTGAGCTGACCGGGGGAAGAATAATTTCATATCTAGGATGAAGCCTGAATTGCACAAATTTTTAAGCTATTCAATGGGGAAATAAATAAATTGCAGGTATTCGGAAATTGTAAAATTGAAAAAATAAATGGAAATTTTTCAGTAAACTCTGCACAAGATATCCTGGATATTCTTATTAGACAAATATACTGGGAGATTAGTCCAAGAAAATGATCAAATCATTTCAATCATCAATGTTTAAAAGGAGGAGAATGCACAACTGTGAACCATAAAGTACTTTTGCTCCAGTTTCTAAGAGTAATTTTCTCCGATTTCTCCGATCAAAAAGATGACCATCAACAATATTGTAAGCTATGCAATTTCCATGAGGCAATACAATTTTTGGTCTAGAGGCCATCCATAAATTAAGTAAGGCACTTAAGGGGGTAGGGGGAGTCTTTAGCAGCCTTACAANGGGGGGGGGGGGGGGGGTAGGGCTGTGCCTTACGTAAGCTTTCCAGCCTATATTTAAAGAAAATGCATAAATCTCTTTTTTGTCAGGTTAGTAACAAAATTCAAGATGAAATAGAGGAAATCAGCACCGATCGGACCACGCTCCTGTCATTTCTCTTAATTGCCACTTCTTCACTACGTGGAATGATAAGTAGTGACTTCATCCTTATGTCAACTTTGTACTTATAACTATTCCAAGGGCAAAAAAATCTTCAATTTTGCTCCACATATTTTTGTTTATTAAACTAACTTTATCATTAATATTTCCTCTGAACTTACTTCAAAAATTTAGTTGTAATAATACAAATTTTGGCCTCAAAATTTCATTCTTTTTCGAAAAGAAAACGTAAAGCTGGAATCACAGGCTAAATGTGGGAGCTGAATGTGCCTCGAATTTGGAAGTCATCGGCTCGATGCCTGAAATGCAATGAGGCTCAGCGACCATCAGAAAATTTGCAATGAGGCTCAGCGACCATCGTAAAATATCGGATTTGTCTGAACTATTCGAATAGATTTGATACAAATTTGTATGAAAATAACTCGAATTTACGAAATTTCAGACGTTGAGCAATGACTGTTGACTTCCATATTCAGCTGCTAAATTCAGCGTGTGATTCCAGCATGATGCTTCGATCTGGGATAATAGAAAAAAAAGGGGGGGGGGGAGTCAGTCGAGCCTTACATAATTTTTAGAGGGGGAGGAGGGGTAAAGGATGCCTTATGGTGCCTTACAAGGGGGGGAGGCGTCTAAAAATGGGAGAAAGTGCCTTACATAATTTAAAAATGGCCCCCTAGATTATCGAATATAATGTTAATCTACATCCAGAATTCTGAAGCACAGAAACTGAATCATTTTTTTTTAAACCTTGAATCTTAAATAATAAAAATAAAATACAAAGAAAAGTAAAATTGAAATAGGTATTGTCATAATATTCTTGAATTTTGGTTTAGAAATTAAAGATTAAACATTTAGAGCATGAAAATTACAATTTTAAGGTTGAAAAAAGGGGGGGGGGGATCAGTGATGGGTATGCTATCTTAACTAAGGAAAAAGGATTGAAAAAAATAAATAAATAACCAGTCAAGGAAACAAGATTTTCTAAAACTGAAAACGAGAAAAAGAAGTGTGCCTGACAGAAGGGGAAGACTCACCAAGACTTTCACCACCGGAAAAATAAACACCACCTTGAAAGAAGTACAAAACCTTTCTCAGATTTATAATTATTTAGAGCATCCGTTAAACTTTAAAAATTTATTAAAAAAAACTTTGGAAGTCACTGATAAAGAACACAACAAAAGGAGAAGTTCAAAATATAAGGGGGAAAATTGACTTGGCTCTTGAAAAGGAACTGGGATTAATTCAAATAATGATATGGTCCAAAAGGTCACCATTACAACATATCGAAAGAACATGGGTTAACAGAAAACATTGTTTTGTTAGTGGGTGAATAAAAGCTTTGGGGACTGAGTTCATCATTATAAAGCTATCATCTGAAGGTTGTTTAAGATACGTTAACTATAGAAAAATGTATTCGTAACTTCTCAAACAAATTTTTTCAAGGGGGTAAAAATAAGGACTGAAGGATCATCACATATTACTTCTAGAACCAAGCAGTATATAATGTAATCTCAGGATGCCTAAAATTACAGCTAATTCATTGATAGGTATACGGTATAAAACAACTTGCTCCAAGCAATGATAAGAGAAAAAAACATTATATCGTACATCGTGGAGCCTGTGGTTTTCTTTTTAGATTTTCTACTGGGCTGGGCAGAATAACATTGTTTTGGTCTCAAACTATTATCCGCTCCTTCACTGATAGGTATTATACCAATACCTTCTCGACCATACCTGGTCACGCCCAGATTGAGGTTATGTCGTTAGTGAATCGGTTTCCGCAATGTGTTTACGTTAGTGCTAACAGGTTAAGAGTGCGAAATCGCGAGTTTTCTTGTTGAATTCAAGTTTAATCAGTTTTTTTCTGGCAGAAATCAATTCTGTGCCATAAGCCTCACTCTTGGTGAGATTTACAACGTTTTAAGGAGTTTTATCGGTTCAATTTCTCCTCGTATTCCCTAAGTGATCGGACGGTTCTTCTCCATGTGTTTGACTGAGTGTTTTTTTCAGGAAAAGCTTCGTGTTTCCTCCCGCGACCTAATGTGTTAATTTTTGTGTGGATCATTAAAGCTTCCTAAGAAGTTTCTCAAATAATTTCGTGCAAAACCAAGGGGCGAACTGCTGTGTGTGTCTTGTGAAGTTGCAGCTGTGGTAAGATGGCTTATTTTGTCGTAACAGAGGGACCATCAATGCTTGCCTTTGATCTCCTAATAATCAAATATGAAGTAAAATTAAGTTTGAGTCTTTCAGACCTCTTAGTTTCACTGCACTCTGAGCGCACTCAACTGCACTTTGAGTGCAATGAAACAGCCTTAATTTACTTCACATTATCTACGATGATGCCTTCTACACTTCAGCGTGCGAACTGGATCGTTCCTTGGAATTGTAAGAATCTTAATCCTATTGATTTTAAGGTGTGTGCTTGTTTTGATCCGTTATTACCTAATTTTATGGCATGGATTTTCTTTTTTATAATGCCTTGGATTTTATATGGTACTTCAGTAAGCGTTAGCTTCTGTGATATTTCTATTTTGCTGCTGCTTTTGCTGAACTAGACAATTGTGCAATTTAGAGCAATGGGTAGATGCTGCTGTGTGCCTGGCTGCAAATCTAATTATGCAAGCTCCTCTGGTCCTGATGTCTCAACCTTTAAATTCCCTGATCCTGCCAAAGAGCCAGAGCGTCATGCAAAATGGTTGAGTGCTCTCAGTAGGGATAGCTTTATGCCTACCAAAAGTTCTGTAGTATGCATGATCCACTTCCATCCTCAGTTTGTTGTGACGCATGATGAGTTCAAGAGCAAAGAGGGCTCTATCATTCGAGTTGAGAGACAGAGACCAAAATTGACTGACGATGCTTATCCCTCTATCTTTCCCAACCAACCCATATACCGATCAACTGTCCCTGCTAAACAAAGAAAAGATCCTGCAGAGCGAGAGCAAGACATGGCTCAAGTTCAATTGAAAAGAAATTTCCAGCTACAAGAGGAGAAAGACATAATCCCTAGCTTTGAATAATTAAAGGAGGGTCTTTCAAAGAGGAACGAATCTTTAAAGTCAATATTACACCCTGGTTATATTATTCTCATTAAAGCAGAAGATGATGAATTTGATACAGTGCCATTCATCATCTGTGCAAAAGTTTCTAAGGAATTGACTGTGAAAGTTTTTAATAATTTTGCTGAGCTACCAGGAGAAATGTTCAAGTCTTGTCTTGGCCCGAATCTGAAATGTGATCGTTGGTCATTTGATTCATTGATTCAAATGTTACCACAGGGAGATGTAAGGCCCCTAAAAGAGAAAGTAATTTGTTTTGCAGAAAAAATATCTGATGCAGTGGTATGGTCTGAGCCAGTTGCCGATAGTGAAACTGAAAGGGCAGCAAAACTTAATTTCCTGGTTGAGCAGTTAAAGTTAGCTGTAGCTACCAACATCCGCTACTCACCGGAAATGCTTAAGTGGGCTGCTGCAATTTTTTACACTTTCCCCAGAGCTTACAAGTCAATGAGAGCCACGCAGCAATTGACAATCCCCCACCAAAGGTACCTGCGAAAACTCCTCTGCAAAATTGGAAATGACGGTTGCGGGATGGGACCAACTCAAAGGGCTTTTCTGATAGAAAAATTTAAATTACTCTCAGAGGATTTTTATACAACCAGCGACCCTTCATACTGTGACATTGGTTTGATAGGGATTTTAAATTTTATATTTATATGTACCAAAATACCATGCTCAAACGTTTGGTTGGGAATTAGTAGAGTTTATCTAAACTTTCTTTAAAGTGCATGATAAACAGCAATAGTGCTGGGAAAAATAGCATTGAAAGAGTATAAATTAAGGTAAGATATTACCAATCCTTGGCATTCATGTCGGAGGTCTAAACACTACGATGAAAATAACTTTGATGAACAGTTTTGAGCAATTGGACTGACAAGAGACCACTAGATTCAAAACTGATTGTCAAAGCAAAAATTTGGGCTTTCAAACTGCAACAGCGAGCTGATTTGGCGAGCAGAAGGTACTTAAATACTTATTGGATGAGAAAGGAAATCATTTACAAGATACTAATTTAAGAGGTGAACTTGTCTGACTGCAAAAGAGTGCCATATCTGCTTAGGAAAGAGAGCAATCATACAGAAAAACTTCCTGTGGGTTTGAACTGGGTAGGTAATGAAATCCCACAGGAAAAATGCGAACACAAACCTCAGAATGGGCTTCATGGTTGCATATGAGACAGAAATTCGAGACTGCATTTTTGTATTACAGAACTATAATGAGAGAAGATGATTTAAAATCACTTTCCTATGATGAAAACTCCACCACTTGAACGAAAATCAATTATTTCCACCCTAGTAACAGCAATCTCCATGAAGCGCAAGATTAGGTACTGATCAAATCTTCAATATTTTCCTTGTAACGAGTTTAAAACACAACTGTAACTGCTCATATCTTCAGGGGGAACTTGGGGAGTCACAACACACAAAAAAAATGATGAAAATTGGCCGTACTATAGTAAATTAACGTCAAAACTCACAATTTCCCATTACACTGCCATTGATAAACAGGCGTTTCATCGATTTACTAACGACATAACCTCAATCTGAGTGTGACCAGGTATGGTCGAGACGGTATTGATTATACTTATTATTTTTTACTCTTTATTCACTTAATACTTTATTTTTACATTGAGGTACAATGTGCCCCTTATCGCAGGCTTAAACAATAACCTAACATATTTACACACCATTCAGGGTTGCTACAGAATTTAGAAAATGAAATTCCCTGATTTCCCTGACCAATTTTGAGAAATTTCCCTGACATCTGATGGTATGCAGGATGGTTAAAAAGACATAATTTGAAATACTTTTCTTGAAAACATATAAGTTTGATGGTGAATAATTGATACGCATACACCCAGGTTTTTTTTTTTGTCACTGACAGCAACAAAAGGAAGTTACATCTTTGATTGGCCCATTATTAAAGAAGTTTTGGTCAATTTCTCATGTTGCATCTCCTCAAAGTTTACATTGACATCTGGCTCTGATAGCCTCAGACTAAGAGTAGAAATCCTGCAATTTGAGCAGTATTTGCTGGGTGTGTTACCACTTCCATTTAGGACTAATAGTAGGTAAAACTGAGTCTATTCCACACAATGTATGAAAGGAAAGGAAGTTTGAGCTAATCATGTTTCACTTTCAAAGCATTAAAAACTAGAAAAGCATTGTACTTTACACTGAAACAATGCCTTGCTGCTAATATAAAACCTCATTGAGACAAAGGCACAAACACAGAAATTACAGCAAAAACGAGCCAATCCACTTCCCCAGTTCAAATTTTAGTATTGCTTAAAACAGTTTCATCCTTTTGAAAGTTAGTAGGAAAATTATTCAAAGACAGGGATTGGTTGAATAAAAATGCATGAGTTATTGAAGCTAGGTAGAGAGAGGTAATTCCTTTTCATTATTGCTGTGTGTAAAAGGTTAAGTTGGTACACACACATCAATAGAACCGCGTAAGAGGAGGCGGTATGGAGGGGGCAACTGAAGGGAAGCAGTGGCGGATCCACAGTGAGTCCAGGGGGGGGGGGGGGGAGCCATTTGCTAGTGCGGAGTGGGGGTCTGGGAGGCCTCCCCCAGAAAATTTTTAAGAAAATAGGTCCTCCCAGATTGATTTTTAAGCAGTTGAACTATACAATTTGTGCATTACTTGAAAGATAAAAACTGACTGGTAATACCTCTTTCAGCGTAATCTTATTTTGGTATATGGACTACCTATTTATTACTGCGGTGTTGAGCAACTTTTGGTTTGGTAAACATAGGTTATGTGGTTTTGTCTTTAAAATATTTCAGTTAAAGTCAAGGAGCACTTTTTTCCCTCTCCCTTCCCCCCTCCTCGCCCATTTTACCTGCTCTTCTCTTGGCCTGNGGGGGGGGGGGGGGAGGTTCATGCCACCATGGCCCTCTCTCCTTGAATCCGCCACTGAAGAGAAGAGACAGAGTGAGGAGAGCACGATGACGCATGAATTCATCCGCAAAATCGCCCCTTACAAACCTGAACTTGCAACATTAGTTGTTCGAAATTTCGGACTCGATCTTGGAAGCAAAGAATGGCTATTTTACGATTTTTCCCTGACATTATCGTCATTTTTCCTGAGACTTCCTGGTTTTCCTTGACTGTGGCAACCCTGACCATTGAATGATAGCAGTGGAAGGGGGGGCGGCTAATAACTAAGGTGGTTGGAGGAGTTGGTCTTTTTACTGGTGAGTTACTGTCAATATTATTGTACTTACTGTCTTACTATTATCAATTCAGCTATCTTCTCGCCTGAGAGAGACGCTTCCTTTCCCAGCCGATTGCCAGAGGTAAACTACACCTCTAGGGCTATCGCTTCAATTCATGACTTTACACACTCTAGGGGCCGCCTGTAGCACTACCATGGACCAAGAGAATAAATAAGAGCCCCCAACTCTCAATTTAAACCTGTGTGAAAAACCGTTACCGTGCAACTGCAGCGAACCTGGCAGAGGGTGCAGTGAACTAACGCCACAGCGGTCCACGCTCGTACCTCTATAGTAGGTAGTATTCCATTGGATGTTTGTTGTAAATTTTATGATTTATTTATTTAGATTATTTAGATAATTGAATACATTTTACTTTAGCAAACTGATGAAGTAGTACAGATACATATCTTCTGCAGAGGTCAATGCGAAGGACTTAGATTTGAAGTATCTTATCAAAACACAAGCAAATTTGATGATTTATTCAACTTCTGAGGCAGAAATAAAGAGACTTGCTAATAATCAAAATAAAGTTAATGCTTGAAGTCAAGTACCTCTGATTTTGTGACACTCAGTTGATTTTTATCAGTACATCACTATTTCTCTCTAAAAAGATTCCACTTTAACAAAGGAACGCCTTCAACAAATAGTACAATCCTCCATCACACTATAAATACACACTTCCTTTTGCTTTCTCAACAGCAGTTGCTGCTGAGTAAGAAGGTTGTAGAAAACACTTTACATTATTACCAGTTTATGTACCCGAAGACTTATTAAGATTGAAATAAAAATGGGAAACTTTTCACATTAAACTCTTCAGAATGACCACGAGGATCTAGAAACTTCCATGAGCCATGGGGCACTGATAAGCCTAAATAGACGGTGCAAGAAATCATGGAACAGGAGAACCCAATTGTCGGTTTAGTTCACTAGACCCTCTGCCAGGTACCACTAGTGTCGCCGTTGACTGGAGTTGGGAGTTCTTATTTATTCTTTTGGTCAATGGCACTACTGTTTCTTGCAGAGATGCTAGGTTGTTCTACTGGCATTTTTTTTCTTACTATTGTTATTATTTTTAGACTTTCTTCATAAAAAAAAAATCGTTTTTGGATTAAAAGAGATTGAAAGATGGGCTATGGCCATATCTTTCAAACATAGAGCCTTTTAAAATTGTTAAAAATTTACTATTATTAATAGATATTATTATTATATTTTTTTCCCCTCTTAACTTTAGCGTTTTGCTGTAGGGATCAGAATAGAATTATCTCTACAAGCTAGAGGCGAAAACAATTTTAGGTCAGTCATTCACCTGCTAATAGTGAATTTTTTTGGACCAGTTATATTTTTGATGAAAGAAACAGGTTGCCGGCCAGGTTGGCCTGGTGGTCAGCGCGTCTGACTCTAGACCAATAGGTCCCGGGTTCGAATCCCGGTGATGGCGACAAATTTTCATGGAACTGACGAGTGGATCTGCAGAAACAGATTCCATTCGGCCTTAATCCCTGAAAATTTGAAAGCCTGGAGCATGGATGTGCCTAAATCCCATGATGTCTAAGGACAATAAATACTGTCTATCGATGGCTGTGGGTTCCAACAGAATATAAGCCACTAAACCAGCAAAAAAAAAAAAAAAAAGAAACAGGTTATATAGATACATCACGTCTTTAACACTCCTGCCAAGAGCAATAGTGCTGGAATTTTAATAGGACAAAATACTATTTGTAACTCAATACTTCAGGAAAGCAAGGTGGAAAGAAAAATACTTACAGGCTCCTCCTCCACCATGATGATGGTCTCCTAACGTGTGCTCAGTCATTGTGCCAGAGGTAGTGATATCTATCATTTCATCATCACTGCTCACTGATATAGACCGCAAGTTACTGCCACCATACTGATCAGCAGTAATTGATACCTGCAGATAGGCAAATTTAAAAAAGTAAAATAAATAAGTAAAAGTAATAGAACCTTAGTACATCTCCTGGTTGTAACTCAACAGACTTTGAGCTGTTGCTCAGTAAAGATGTTGAAGTTTGATGATTGAAGAATGATGCAATTTTACTCAATAAGCAAGACAAGAACTGATATGAATATCTTTGTGATAGGAGCTACATAGGGGTCGAAATGCGCAATTCAAGACTCAGTTTGGTCTCATAAATGCATCATATTTAATACTTACCTAAATTCAGTTTGAAATTTATGTTAATATTAATCTTTCTCATTTTGGTTGAATGATCCGCGTTGATCAGCAGGGCGCACAGGATGAAAATGAACTATTTCCAACTTTTTCAAATTTTGGAAACTGCAAAAAACTGTCATTTTGGTGCATGCCTATCGATTTTCTTAGAATAGGGCTTAAACGTTGCAAATACCAAGAGGCTTCAGTGTTGAAAGTTTAAAATATCACAAAATATTAAAGTTTCCAAAATAAAAAGAAAAAGTTAAAGATTGTCTCTCTTCTCATGATTTTAATTATCAGATGCTTTCTCTTTTGGTCTGACTGAGATTAGTAGCCGAGTCGTTTTTTTCATTTAAAAAGCTACTTTAGGCAAATATTAATAAGATGCAACAAAATTATAAAAATTAGAAATTTATGAAGTTTAAAAATTTAAAGAAATTGTTTTTCTTTTCTTCTTTTTTCAAATGTAGGCATGGTTTAAAGGAAATGGAAACATTTTCAACTAATGACTAAATGATAATAGATTGATTACTAATGTAAACATGAACTTAAATTTAAAACTTTAGCAGGAATTTTATCTTAGTACAGCCGAAATTTCAATTTGATAAATTTTTATTTGTAAATCCTAACTGACGTCACTTTCGGAACAAGCAAAAACAATTCTTGCAAGGATCAATGTTCAACATAATCACCCAAAAAAAGTAAAGAGTGCTTGTTTTGATCCAATACACCTTGTACAAATGAGAAAGGCAACAGTAGCGAAAAACTGAGTCATATCCCCTTCCTACCTAATTACTTTGTACCGACAGCACAAAATGTCTTGCTACCTGAAGTTCAGTGGTTTTCAGTCCTGCCGTCCAGTTCCACTATATCACCACTTTCACTGGAATGGTAATGGTTGTAACTTTCAATGGAAAAAAGAAATTATATTCTTGAAAGGTCCAGGAAGAGAGCAAAATAAATTTCCGAAACCACCAACAGCCTACCACATGCAAATTTCGGGCCCCTAGACCCACGCTACACCTCAACTACTACAATGTTCCTCTAATTTTATAATTTTAAAATTTACTCTCATGTTTGAAGTCAACATATCAAATATATTTTACAAATCATTACAACAAGCTCTCTGACCTATTGAATGTTCATTTTTGGACATGGGAGTTGTATTGTAAGTGGGAGAGCTGGCGCAACTTTTAAGCATTTTCCAGGTTCCGGATTCCGAGACTCCTGTGTGACGCTGGGTCACTTTTTCGATACATGGGTACCCAGCCATCCAATGTAAACAAAGAAGATAAGAATTACCACGTATTTCACACGGCCATTTTGGATCGAACATGTATCGAAAAAGTGACCGAAGCTCAGCTCACACCGGGCTCGGAACTACTTGAGCAGAACATGGCGCCAGCTCTCCCATTTAAATTAGGTACGACTGTGTACTCTATGATTTTTGGAAGCAGTTTGTTCTAGAAATTTGTTGGACTAACTTCTAATATTTCTGCAGCTTTTGACACAGGTATTTACATTACATTAAAAAAGTTGCATTAAAAATGCTCCCATTAAAACAATGAAAATGTTCATTTTGGCAGCGCTTTGTTTTTGAGATCTACTGCGTTGATTTCCATAATATTTGCAATACTCCATCCAAATGCATTTTTGGGGTTATAAATTAAAACAAATTTGGCCCAAAAATGTTTGTCTTTGCTAATAGGTAAAGAGAGCAAACCAAAATTTTTAAAATGAGCTGAAGATAAGGTCCATAGAACCAGAGATTTTTTAGAAAGATCCTTAAAATTGGCTACCCTGTACTTCTGCCAATTACAAAAATAGTCAAAAAGCTTCATGGTAGTTTTATTTTATTTTTTAATTAGTAGGTAAATCAAGTTCACCAAAGGACGACGGACCGGTCTTATGGGAAAAGTGGGCCCGGTTAAATCGGCTGGCGTTTTGATATGTTGTAGGTCTTAACCTACTGATCCAAAGTGTCAATGGGCATTTCTCCCTATCTCGAAGTTTTACCCCCCATTTTGGGGGTCAAAGTTGCCAATTCGGCGTATATTTGGCAGTTTTGACACCCGGGTTTATTGGTCGCCTATGAGATTCTTTGATGGTTTCTTGAGTCTTTTGAACTAGCTTGCGCGGGTCGGATCAAACCGATCCTTCTATTATGTTTTGGAGAACTTTTTCGCAAATGACTCAGGCTGCTTCTTGAAAGGTCTAAGATGCAGCTCAAAATATACCTCCCCCCCCGGGGGGGGGGGGGGGGGGG